AATTTTATTATATAATGTTACAATGATTGTGTTACATTACGCGTTTTCAATTTATCTATTAAATTATAATTATAAAAAAATTATGTTTGAAAAAAGTGTTTTATACAAAAATTATAGAGGTTGTAGTGTGACACATTATATAATAAATTTACTATGGATGTGTACACTATGTGTATAGCAAAGTTAGAATTTAAATTAATGTTTCAGACGTCAATAAATTATATTTATCTATATATAATTTTAGTGTATGACTATGTATAATTTTTTTATACATAATTATAATTTAGTAGATAAGTTGAAAACGCGCAATAATATGTAAAAAAAATCATTGTAAGAATTATATAATAAAAATATTGCTTTAAATTGTTTACTTACTTTACATTAAAAAATATAAAAATAATATTGAAAAATAATTTATCCTTTAAATGCACCATTTTATGAATCGCTAAAAGCTGCAGATCTTGCTCGGTTTCTGCCGACAATCTGATGTCAAGTCATGTTAGCAGATTCTGCTCGGTTTCTGCTATCAATCTGCTATCAGATTCTGTGAGCAGGCTTTGCTAGCAGATCGTAAGCCTAATGCGGACATAACAAATGCCAATTTGCTCGCAACTTTTTAGTATATCTGTTGCCAATCTGCTAGCATATTGCGCGCATTTTGCTTACTGGGTTGACTGAACTGCAGGTCTTGCTCGGTTTTTGCTGTTATTTTGCTATCAAGTCGTGTTGCGCAGATCTTGCTTCATATTTGGCGTCAATTTGGTCTCAAATTATGTGCAAGCTTTGCTCGGTTTTTGCCAGCAATTTGCTGTTATGTTTTGTCAACAAGCTTGGATATATTTTTGCTAGCAATTCTGCAACATTGCCAGACAAAACAAACTCTGCATCATATTTGATGTATTTCTGCTAACAAAATTTGTAACAAGCATTTGGCAAAATCTGTGTCGACAGATTTGGTTATCTGAGTATATTTATCTTGAGTTGCGAAACACTTGTTACTTTTATTATAAAAATATATATTAGCTGACACAATTTGTTTTTAAAAGATAAGTAGTTTAAGCACGTATTGCTTGATCAGCAGGAGTGACAGATTTATCTCCGCGTGCTGATCAAGCAGAGTTAAGAGGATGCTGAACCGCTGGCAAAAGTTCGCTCAGCTGCTACTCAACCGCTATGCTATCGGGTAGGTGGCGCCATCTCTCGGGACCGAATCAAACCAAAACAAGGATAAATGACATGAGAGAGCCAAGGATAGACATATGTTTCTCTCTGACGCTTCTGCTAAAATTGTACTAATCGTATTTCCAAGTTTTCTTGTCTCACAAGGCTTCAAAATCTTTTTTGAAGCACTCAAAATATTCGTCTGTTTCTAGTTTGGAATAAAGGTATTTTTATTTGGATTTATATGGCCAATTTTGCATATAAAGTAAAAATGTAGTAATTATATCTTATTGAAGCTCGATAAGTTACTAAACTAATAGCGATTTCGGCTGGTTTGCACCGACTGCACATTTCGGGTGTCGGTGCAAATTGTGTGTTTGGCTGGTCGAATGGCAGCAGTTCTTTGCTGGTTCCGCGTATTCGTCTGAGCTCAGTACATCGCATAGGTGCATGTTGGGTATACACAAAGT